TTTTGGATGAACTCCAAGTGATCCACTGGTAAGATCCAACTTGGACGTCAAGATTTTTTGCGAATAAGGACTTCAATATTAGTCTTTCCTCACACAAAGATATAATTTGTCTTCATTAGACTTATAATATAGGGCAATAGCCGTACGCACCACTTTCTTTGGTACTTTTATGGTGATTTTGAGCTTCAAAGCTTAAGTCCACATTTATTGTAATATAATTTTAATATATACAACATACACTCTTAAAAATAAAGGTGCTTAAAAGGTTCTTTATAGCAATGCCATAGAAGAACCATTTTTGGTTCCACAAAGAAGCATTCAGTCAAAGGTTCTTTAAAGAACCATCTCTTTCTTACCTTTTTATAATCTGAAGAACCTTCTTTCACCACAAAGAACCTTTTGTGAAACAGAAAGTTTCTTCAGATGTTAAAGGTTCTTTATGGAACCATTTAGACAAACAGGTTATTTTATGGCATCGTGAAGCACCTTTATTTTTAAGAGTGTATAAACAATTTTGTGTACTATATACACAATAAAATATTATAATTCTATAAACATGTCACTACATGTCACTAATGCGTCACTATTTCAGTAGTGTTTGTTTCCATTAACTGCATTGCCTCACATTTCCCCCAAAAAGACTGAACGGTTGAGCGACTTGTTTCAAAGTCTGATAGAGAGTGATTTTGTTTTTATTTGCTTTGCAGCTGCAGAGACCAGCAGAGGGAAGCCTTTCATCCCTTTATATCTTTCCTCTTTTCAAAGACGACAAAAAGTTGTCCTCTGATTCCTAACACACATCTCAGCTTCTCAGTTTGAGCGTAATAAACTCTGCTTCTGAGGCCAGCGTGAATCAGACCTCAGTGTTTGTTTTGCTAGGATTGAGTGCTAAGACACACCTGCTTCTAGATGCCTATCGATGAATGCACACTCATTCTGATGACTTGAAGTTTGAGAATGGCTCGTGGTAAATGTATATTGTTTCGTGGGTTTGTGTTTCTTTGACTGCTTCCCTTTTTTGTAAGAATTGAATGTTCAGTATATTTGTAATAGCTGAAATCAAGAATGGATGTAAATAATCTCCCTATGAACTGTTGGATCAACAATAGTCCATCATCACATTCATTAAAGTTTGTATTAAATGGAAATTAATACCACAAAATCTAAAGAAACAACCTACACGGATGAGAGATGGAAACCCACTATACCACTAATGTAAAGGAAAAATCGTCAAACGCAATTTTAAACGCAGTATTTTTATCATGTAATCATATACAATTACATACAGCCAGCTGTATGAGAAACACTATTCATTTAACAATATAAATTGTCATCTGGTTTATTTGTTAATGTGCATACATATTACTATATTCAATTAATATTTGTAATAAATTATAAATGTATTTTAAAATCTACTTTATATTTTAAAAATACATTTATTTTATATTATAATTTTATTATTTTTTTATCATTTTTATATTATATAATTTCTTATAAATATTTTAACTTCCAATAAATAAAACCATATACATTATTAACCATGCAAATAATATATTACTTTTTGGTCAATTAAATACAGTAATATCAAAATTAAAAAATATATAAATATATAATAAGCACATCTAATATAATATAATAATAAAAAATGTAAATGTATTTATAAAAATATATATTTTTTAAAATAATTTATTTTATTTTATTCAGATTTTATTCTTATATGATATCACAACTTCTCAATTTTTATCATTTTAAAATGTTTGTGTTATATAATCTATTAGAATTTTTAACTTCCAATTAATAAAATAATATCAATTATTATGGCTAAGATTAGCCATATTATTAATGTAAAACTTTTACTAAAATAGTAGCTTTGGGTAATGCAGTAAACATTAACATTACTACAAATAATATTACTACAACAAATACTATTACAAAAATCACATTATAAATTGAAATATATTGAAAATATATTGAAAATTAAACTTTTTTTCCCCCTGGATAGCATAAGTAAAAATAAATAGTATGTTTTAAAATCAAACTGGAATGGCATTGTGCATTACTAAATTGTTGACTCTTATTTATGCAGATTGTTCATGCATAAACCCATGTTCTCTCATTTCCACTTATAGAAGGCACAAGTGAAGAGTGGCACAACTTACCCCACTCCCCTAAACTAATTTTCTGCTTAATAGATGCAGTGAGATGTAAATAAACAAAAATATAAAGTGATTTATTCACCGTCCTGCGTCACGCATTCGTCTTCAGTTGTCCGTCAGCTCTCCGTGAGAACAAAGTAAAGGAAAACGTTTCTCTGAAACAAGAAACCTGAGGATGTGAAACGTGCCCTCTGCCATCTAATGTGATACAAGTTGCCGAGTTGTTGCTTAGGTCAGTAGTGATGTTTAGTAATCTTTTCAACATCCTCCTGCTCACTTACACTTTGAAAAGGCCAAGGGTTGAGATCAACAATGTGAACATTAATACAAGGTTTACAAATATCACCGGACGCCTCAAAACCAGAAAAAAATCAACAACAACAACGTTGGAAGAATCTGATCGCTTAAAAGCTGAAATGTTTGATCTCAGCTCAAAAGGGATCAGTAAAGTACTCTTAGTAGTCATTTATTTAAACAACAAAGAAAATACTTCTGTAGTTTAATGGGGATGATTGTTACTCCACCTGATACACTGTTTGTTATCCGTGCCAAAGTCACTCCTGTGACTAAATATTGGAATTGTGAGGCGTTTGAAGTGCCACTGAAACATAACAGGCTCTCTGTGACATCAAAAACATATAATTCATGTTAAGTTTGTATACTATTTTGTTTCACATGCATGTTGTTTGCACCCTGGCTGGCTGCTTGATAACTATCAACAGCCTCTAAAGTTTACGGGCTGTTAAGGGGGTTTGGTGCTGCCGAGTCTCTCAGCGTGAGGCTCTGAAGGCAGCCTATTAAAAGTGTAACACAGTATCTACACTGACTCTCTTTGAAAGGTACTTCAGCAGCTACTGTTTTATGGACGCTCACATGCCTCGGTCTGTGTCGTTGTTTGTCTTTGCATTGTTGCAGTTTGGACAAGAACTTTGTAAAAAAAAATTACTAGCAATTTCTGATAGGAAAATTGTTTCTACAACTTATTTTTTCAGGGTACAGCTTCTAATATTGAAGGTGTTCACATGTGTGCTGGACACGTGTTTGGCAGTTTTCCGTCACACTTTTTTAATTATATATGTCAACAAAACTAATTTAAGCATAAGCTTCAGATCTTAAAGATCACAAAAAACATTCAATAAAGTGTGTTCAAACTTTCACCTGGTAGTGTTAAGTATACAATTCAAGCACACCCTATATAGGGAATCAGTAGAATCGTATAAAACAGAGGGAATCTGATACACGACTGGTCAGGAAATACAGCAGCGCCAGTTAAGCGAAAGTCGAGCTCCAGAAAAACTTGACATGAAACAAACAATAACAAATCGAACCATTGAGAAACAACAATACTGAGATAACAGCAGGAGCTCCACTTTCTCCACTCCTCTGAGAAAAAGATGCAGAGGAAGACAGAAACAAGAGTCTGAGTCCGACTGTCACCGCTGAATCTCTGCCAGAACATTTGAGGAACTTCACTGAAGACGCGGTCTGTTGGAGAAGAGGGTCCGGCCCCACTCCCTCCTCCTCCTCCTCCTCCTCCTCCTCCTCCTCCT